TAATATTCACAGGTATGTGAGCTAAACTACAATCATTAATATTCACAGGGATGTGAGATAAACTACAATCATTAATATTCCCAGGGATGTGAGCTAAACTACAATCATTAATATTCACAGGGATGTGAGCTAAACTACAATCATTAATATCCATAGTGATATTAGCAAAAACTAACCGCAGTTTAATAAATGTTGGTTACTCACCATGTTGAATTTTCATCGCAATAGCATTGAATGACACGCCAAGTTTGTATAATTTAAAAATGTAACAATACCAAATGTCAGTTTAGTTTTAGGTCTTTGTCAGTTTTTGAATTATTTCATCGTATGACACACCAGAACCAGTTGGAAACATTACAACTAGTTCTACTTAACATGGCGACACACCAAAACAATTAGGCCCAAGGAAATAACCATGATATTAGATTATATTGATTTATTTGATTAAATTTGGATAACATGTTTGAAATATTTCCGTCTAAAATTGCCCAAAGAATAATCTTTATTTCTAGCTTTATTTACATTATTTATTTTTGAATTAAATAAGAGTTAGTGCATAGAACGCCACAACTGTTTACCTCAGAAACCTAGGGTGTTTGATTGTAGTTTATTGTGTACAGTTATTATCGGCAAAGTCACCGGGGGTCAGATGGTTGGTTTTCCAAAAAATAGATGACCTGTGGCTTGAAATAAAACTGAAGTTTAACTCGTCCCTGCCAGCGTGTCAACTTTTACCTGTTATTAACTTAAAAGTTTTGCAGAACGCATTGTCCAGGTCTTGTCAATTATTGGAAAAATCGATTTTACATAATTTTACCAGCCTTGGTCTAAATAGGTCGGAGCAGCGTTCCGTTATTTTGTGTACGCCACTGAACTGTGACATGCGCATTGCGTGCGACAACAATTTAAAAAAAAAAAAAATAAAAAAAAAAAAAAATAAAAAAAAAAAAAAATTGCAGTTCGGATAAACATTAGTTTAAAAATCGGCTCTCTAAATTTCGACGCCCTAACGTAAATGAAGATCGTGCGAACAGCGTGTGAACCTTGACATTGTAAACATTGTCACTGCAATGGTATTTCATTACAATTAGAAGGGGGAAAAAACTGATTTAACCGAAAGGTAAAAATTAATCAAGCAGTTTCTTGTTGCAATATTGTGTATCTGAAAATCAATAAGCACTGAGTTATTTTTTGAAATTGTTATATCTTGATACGGTACCGTAATAACTTATAGTCGACCAGATTATAAGCCCGTTTTGTGATTGGTCTTAAAAGCTGTTGTCATTTCCCCTCCTCGTATGTCCACATTTAAAGAAGCTGATACAGAGACAAAGCTTTGCTAAAGCTAAATCTAATTGAATTTTCTCCAGAACACCGCCGACTACTGACACTCGAGTGTTTAACGCATTTCTGTTCGTTTTTAATGTCTTCTATTTTTGTCTTGTCTGCTGCAGTAGGCTTTTAGCCGAAACATCCTCATTTTATTGTCCCGTTCTTTCACTTCACATTTCAAACGACCTTGTTCAACGATTTCCTTCGCACAGCTTGATCGCCACCCTTCATGTATATTCCTACGAAACATGATATGTTAGTCTTCTTGCAAGGATTATTCCCCCCTCCCAAAAAGGATTGGGGTGGGTGAGGAGAAGATTATTGTTCCTCATTGATTTCTTTTTAAACGATGCGCAAACAGTCTATTTTTAGATGTGTGCAACGAGTCTATTGTTAGATGTGTGCAAATAGTCTATTTTTAGATGTGTGCAGGTGCTTAAACGTTAGAAAGCACATTAGACTTGTACTGTAGCTTTAAAAAAAAAAAACTAGCCTACTCCAGCGCCCCCAAGATTGTAGTCCGTGGAATATTAATGATTGCCCGGGTGGATGAGACTCGTTAACCTTGGTCGGCAACTCATCTAAGAGAAGGAAACTCTGAATTCAAACCCGGAGTTGGAGTCCCGTAAGGCGCAAACAATGACAATTCCTGCAACCGAACCCATCCCTGGTCGTCTTGACGTGGAGTCTTGCCACTGGATATGGTGGGCTCGGACGAGAGAGTGAGGTAGACGCCGCGCAACTCTTCTTCACTTTAAACAAAGTCATCCGCGCAAGTCATCAGTCACCAGACGACTCGATGATCCTCGTCGATCCTCGACGGACGAACAATAAAATAAAGTCCGTGGACAAGCAACTGTTCGCGAGCCTTACTTTCCCGATGTTTCCACTATTGGAATTTATACGGTGAAACAAAAAGAAAATATAATCAGTAAATCTGGCACCGATCCTTATGCAATTTCATAAATTTTTCCACCAGTCCGGGAAACTTAACAAGTTTCAGGAAACACTGGCCTGCATGAGTTTTGATATAATGGTAACTATAAATCAAATTTTAAAAAAAAAATTAAATGACAAGTTTATCTGGTACATGAAACCAACAGGAAACTGAATTGTTCTTTCTTAGTTTACGTTAGTTGTCCTTAGAAACCTTTACATAACTAAATCCATGTAGGTCTGTCAAGGTCATATTACATATTTCAAGGTCATGACATCAGTGGCACGGTGTGTATTTTGATATGGGGCACTTGAGTTTAGTGAGCGAGTGTGAACGCTTTTCTTGTCACGAACAAGTGCATGGATTTTGGGGGTGATAATGGGAGACAACGATTTTTAGCGGTCAGAGTGATAGAGAGAGAGTGTGTGTGTGAGAGAGAGAGAGACAGAGAGAGAGAGAGAGAGACAGGGAAAGAGAGAGATAGTATTTTGGTTAGATTCCCTTATGGGGCTTTTGCCTGAAGATACTTTTTTTTTCTGTCAGATGTAATGATGTATAAACTTCATGATGTACAAAATATTGTTTCAGTTCTGTGAAAAGAAACCCATGGTGTACAATGAACCTTTCAGTATTCTGAATCACACCAGACCGTGTTTTGACCAAGCAAGATTTGCGATCGGAATATTAGGCATCAAATATTTGCCATCGGAATATTAGGCATCAAATAATTTGCCATCGGAATATTAGGCATCAAATATTTGCCAGCTCAATATTAGGCATCAAATATTTGCCATCTGAATGTTTGCCATCATCATAAGATATTAGACCCGGCGAAACATTCCACAAGGTCTTTTGAGTACTCTTTGAGGATCTCCAGATGACATATATCTTACGACTTGATGACAACACTTAAGTAGGGCAGCCTCGGGAAATCTGGTGTGTTTGCGTTTAATGTGCTTGACGCCAATCGTTCAAAACCTTGTAAATAATTGTTTTTTCTGTATTACATTTTTGGTGTAAATTCTACCATTGTCTATGACGTGTTTTGAGGATAGAGGGTAGGTAGGATGTGTGTACTTGTGATATGGAGGAGAAACTTGAATCAGAAATAGCACAATGAAGAACAGGATCTCACTAGCTCATGACGTGTCCCAATGAAGGGGGGGGGGCGTGGGGACGATTGTTTTCAAGTTCAATTCTCCAGCTCACACGAATGTTTTGATGAAGTCTCGCAAACCCCTTCTCAGTGCCGCCTTAAGGAATGGGCACACTGGGCACACTGGGCACTAGACCAGGTCATAATGCTACTGAGGGGCCTCACTTTTCTAGGGGGTCTGACGCTTCTAGGAGACCATGGGCACTTGCCCCCCCCCCCCCTGGATTGATTGGATAAATAAAAATTTAGACAAAAATAGACCAAAAATGTATTAATGTNTTTTGCCCCCCCCCCCCCCGGGAAAGTTAAACCGTTTTTTTGCCCCCCCCCCCCCCAGAAAGTTTTCTGCGGGCGCCCATGTAGCAGACTGGCTCTTTTGGAGGCTGAACAATTCTTGTATTTCACAAACATATTACATATTAAATAATTCAACTAAAAATCATATATTTCACTTATATATTCTGTCTATAAATTACATTAAAATTATTTCGAGGACATTGCATAATTTTATTGTGGTCTAACTTTAAAGCTGCTTATTTAAAGCTTATTTTGAATTTAAAAGTCACGTGCATCTGAAATTGTGTGACCTCATAAAACCCAACCCCATCCCACTAATGAATTTGACCAACCCAACTCACCATCAGTTTCATTGATTCAGAAATAAACCCTGTTTTGTTATTTGGTTGAAGAAGGATTAGACAACGTTAAAAAACACAAAATTGGTGGCTGTGTTATTTTTAGGAATGATGTAAACATTTCCTGTGCTCTCTTAAAAACCACTCAAGGGCTCTAAGTGTGTCTCTTTGAATGACGCATGTGTGGTGAGGACCTCAATTGCTGGTGAACCCATTATGTATGTTTTGTTGAAAGCTTGTTAATGGTTCTTCTAATCGAAAATGGAAATGGTCCATTTGGGGGTTTTTTGACCCCCCCCCCCCCCCCATAAGTGAAGCATCTCGTAAGCTATCTCCACAACAGGCGCATGAGTACAGGACGTAAACTATATAAAGGAAGAGGCGAGTCGTTTTGCAGTTATGTCGTTGCTGCCATGAAGAAAAAAAGTCAATTTTTGTTAGACCTAAGCTCGATGTTTAGAATTTTTTTTTTAAAACAAAAGACCGTTGTACATTTAAACTTTGTGTCACAAGACTGCTAAGAAATTTAAAGGAGGAATACTATAAATAGAAACATCGGTAGGTAGCAATGTAATTTATCAATAAATTTCTTCTTTCATAAACATGTATTTTCCAGCGAAGGCTTTTAAATATTTTTAAATAATTTAACCAAAGAGAACATCATCTTTATGTAGGTTTAACATACCTGAAAGATTTCATAGAATGTTTTCTTTTTGTTTGAAAACGTACAAATCTTTAATCTTTCTTTGATAAGAACAGCAACTCAACTAAATAGATTATATTTTGTGAGAAACCAGAATTAAAGTGTATTTTTTAACATCTACGCCCATTTTTCTTCAGAGTGGATAATTTGATCGTTCTTAAACCCCTTGACCTAAATATTGCGTCTTAAACGTTTGGGGGTAACTCTAAGACGGCGACTACCATGTACGACCAAGGATATAATCAGTATGCTGACCTGACGGCCCAAAAAGTGTTACACATCATCTTCATCATCGCCATACTGCTGGCCAACGGTTTGCTCATATTCAAGAATGTCCGTAAAGGTGATGTCATGTACAAGCCAAAAACAATGACAATTTTATCACTGGCCACTGGAGATGTTCTTATGGCTCTGTTTCCCATGGTTGTGACCACTTTAATTTTGTTCAACGCTTTCATACCACCATCTTGTAGTTTTAATGTAACGTACACGATTTACATGCCATATCTGATTACTTTTGTGTTTGGTCTTGGATTAATGGTTTTAGGATTAGAAATTGTTCAACATCACAAAATTTCATCCTTAAGTAAAAACTCCAAACTCATTTGTTCATTGATTGCCAGCAGTATTCCGTGGATTCTTGGACTTATTATCATCTTACCTCTTGGTTTGGCTAACATTGATATGGACACGTGCAAGAATAGTCAGACTATTGATCAGTTCAAAGCCTTGATTGTCTTAGGCATTCTCCTGCCAGCATGTGGTGCCGTCATTACTTCTTTCATTGTCAAGTGCATAGACCAGGCCAGGTACCAACAATTAGTGAGTAGCCATCCACAAGTCATGGTTGATTTAAATACAGGGGACACGGCTCATGACATTGATAACGGTAACCCACATGGTAATTCTTTCATCGTCCCTATTCCCATGGGAAACTTGGGAACTGCAGACGACCTTTCGCTCGATTCAACGCAGAGACGTAACAGGCTTCTCGTCATCTCAATAATCTATTTCATATTAGTCACGCCTTTAACTATTTTTGTTCTCGGCTTTGCTATGAATCCAAATGCCATACGGTTGGGAGTAGTGGCTTCTGCGACTTTAACTAGATTAGTATACTGGCTAAATGTTATCAGATCTGTCATCACACCAATTCTAATGTACAGCTATTCTGATAAGTGAAGCTTTCAATTTTAATGCAGACTGACGCCCTGAGCATGGGAAAATTTTCTGAGGTCAGCTTTAGACTTTCAAATCTCAATATGCAATCTGAAATATACCAAACCGACGCTTCAGGCCAGACACAGTACATTAGCAGACACAGAACGTTAGCAGACACAGAACTTAAGCAGACACAGAACGTTAGCAGACACAGAACTTTAGCAGATACAGAACAGTAACAGACTTAGGACGTTAGCAAGCACAGAACCGTGTCCGACTTAGAACTTAAAACAGAGTAGTAGCAGGACTTTAGAAGATATCATTGGATAAGTATGTTTATTTGCTCGGCACAGGCGCAGCTATCAGGGGGCAGAGGTTTACGTGCGCCAAATCAGTGGGGACACAAAAATAGAATGTCATGGTAATGTGTTGATTAAAATCAAAGGGTTTCATAGCTGACAGAATGGGCCTGGGGCGTAGCAATGAATCTTTTTCGGCGCACGTCAAAAACTGTAGCTACGCTTCTGTGTCTCAGCAACCCGTTAATACTCCATATGTTAGTGTCTGGACTTGACTCCAAGGCTCAACCAAACTGTTTTGGTACATTTCTTGGTATATTTTTTTGGAACATCTTTTGGTGCATCACTTCGTACGCCTCTTGGCACATCTCTTGGTACATCTCTTGGCCCATCTCTTGGTACATCTCTTTGTACATCTCTTGGTATATCTCTTGGTATATCTCTTGGTACATCCCTTAGTACATTTCTTGGTACATCTTTTGGTACATCTCTTGGCAATTCTTTTGGTACATTTTCGCTACACCTTTTGATACATCCCTTAGTACATTACTTTCTTCAGATCGTCTTTTCAACTGAGTTGACGGTGTGGCTGTTAAAACGTTGTTTTTTTTGTTTTTTTAAACTCAAAAATGAGAGCTTATCAAAGTGTAGATACAAAGAACACATTTTAAAAGAAAGCCGCATGGTAAAACCGCATGTCAATCAATATCAGTTTGAAGCCTCATAATTGAACTCTGTCATTTTTTACATAACTTACATAGTTTTGTTAAAAATCAGCCTTATAAGTGTTTGGATGTTTCTTTCGATCTTTTCATAATAGAAATGAAAGATTATAAAATAAATGTTTGTGTTTGTTTGTGTGTGTATGTTTGTGTCTCAGTGTGTGTGTGTGTGTGTGTGTGTGTGTGTGTGTCTGTGTGTTTGTGTTTGTGTGTGTGTGTGCCAATGATTTCATTTTATGTTTTAAATTATCAAAAAAAAAAAAAAAACTCACATTGTAACAATAAAATTTTGTATTTATAAAATGTCTTTCGCTGCCAAATATTTTGGATCTACTTTCAATGACTCTACGCACCAATAAAAAGCTTTATTAATATTTTCAAATATTCCTAGTTATTTTTAAAAAAATCGTTTAATATCTATTTTTTTTAAAATATATTTCTGAGAGTATGATGACAAGGAAATGAGGTCTTGAGAACTGTAGCGTTTGTTTCTGAGAGTATGATGACAAGGAAATGAGGTCTTGAGAACTGTAGCGTTTGTTTCTGAGAGTATGTAACCAAGAAATGAGGTCTTGGGAGTAAATTCTTTTGCTTCTGAGTACTTTAAGAAAGAAATGAGGTCTTGAGAACCACATCTTTTTAACGAAGGAAATGAATGAGTATGATTAGAAGGAAATTAAAAAAAATAAAGGAAATTTGAACTATAGCTTTTAATTTCTTAGAGGTAAATAGGAAAGTAGGTCTTGAGAATCATAGCTTTTATTTTCTGAGAGGTAAATAGGAAAGGCGGTCTTGAGAATCATAGCTTTTAATTCTGGGCGTACGGAAACAAGATATAGCACAAGAAAAGGAAAAACAGCTTCATGTGCATTTGTTTAGCGTTGAACTATTACTCAAGTTGCATTTGGTGAGAGTTGAAATTATTACACCAGTTACATTTATGCATTTAGGGATTGTTGAACTATTACACAAGTTGCATTTGGTGAGAGTTGAACAACTACAAACGTTGCATTTGGTGAGAGTTGAACAACTTCACAAGTTGCATTTGGTGAGCGCTGAACTATTACACTAGTTACACCTTATGAGAATTGAACTACTGCCCTAGTTATGCTTGATGGGATTTAAACTACTGCACTAGTTATACTTGATGAGATTTAAACTACTGCACTAGTTATACTTCTTGAGAATTAAACAACTGATCTAGTTACACTTGGTGAGAGTGGAACTACTGCACTATTTGAACTATTTGGTGAGATTTGCAATATTTTTCGGTGAGAGAGTCTCAAGAAAGAACCATAAACCTACATGTACTCTCTAAACAAGACCATTCTCCAACTAGTATCAAATAATCCATATCATGGAATTCTCTCCTCAAATAATCTGAAATGGTCACACCATAAAACCAAAATTTAAAAAAAAAAAAACCTGGACACTTGGTTTCATTCGAAGAAATCTGCGCCGCTGCTCAACCTGACTACAAGTCCACCTCTCCTGGCTTCGTCACTGACCTCTAAAAAAGATTGGACATCCCCTCCCTCAAAGACAGACGAGAAAAGCTCCGCCTAACATTCTTATATAAAGTGGTCACGGGGCTAGTGCCGGCCATTCCAGCTAACACGTATCTCACCCCGCAGAAGCCAGGTCGCTTCATCAGAGCCAAACGCTCACTAAACACTGACTTCACCTCTGACAACTCCATGAGCAGTTACATCCGGTGTACACAGCACACTATCTACACTCATACCTCCCACGAACAATAATTTCTTGGAACCATCTGGACAATGCCGCCGTGAACTCGACATGAAATCGAGAGTTTTAAGGCTGCCCTGGCACCCGCTGGCCGCACCGTTTCCCAAACCGTAGCACATATGCCAGGACTTGTTTGACGCACCGTAGTCTACCGGAATCAGAATCAGAGAGTTGAAATACTGCAACATTTGTGCTTCACCCGTGTCGTTCCTTAATGGTGTCCTCCTAAAGACACTTTTGTGGTCAGTAATTCAGTAATGTTTATTTTTTTTTGTTGTTGCTGCTCTAGGTGTTTTTTTAAGTTCATCAAAATCTTCACTAATTGTCTTACAAAAAAATCTTCAAGTAACCAGTGCGAAGTTGCTTAGTTGCTCAACAATAGTTCTGATATTTTAATAGCTTAGCTAACTTATGAAAATGGCGTACCACTAGAATAAGCGTGTTAACCCATGAATTCAACCTTTCTTAAACGGGTACGGCCCCTTAGACATTGCAAGCCCTTAATTTAAGCCTAACTAGCTTGTTTGGAAATCCGGCCCCGATATTAAATTCATCCTAATTAAATTATAATTTCCTTCTCTTGTCCTTCTGTCCGCCCTGATTGCGTATCCTGTTTGCATAAAACTTTCTGGCGCGTCCTAGTAAGTCAACGCCATTTTTACAGGCTTCGTAGTATAACATCATCCTTTGCCTCGGTTAGCTGGGTACACTGATAGTGTTACATACAAAAAAGCGAAGATTGTGTTACATACAAACAATACATTCTAGAGACAACCTATACAACAAAGTATACCGGGAAATGGTACTGATGATTTGGTATATAACTTTGTGTTTACATTTTAGACATTCTAGAGTTCTATAAGTATTTTATATCATGCCTCAAGTTCCTACTTTGCCGGATATAACTACAACTAATAGCATTCACAGCGCTGTAAGCCAAACTACAACCAATAACATTCACAGCGCTGTAAGCCAAACTACAACCAATAACATTCACAGCGCTGTAAGCCAAACTACAACCAATAACATTCACAGCGCTGTAAGCCAAACTACAACCAATAACATTCACAGCGCTGTAAGCCAAACTACAATCATTAACATTCACAGCGCTGTAAGCCAAACTACAATCAATAACATTCACAGCGCTGTAAGCCAAACTACAACCAATAACATTCACAGCGCTGTAAGCCAAACTACAACCAATAACATTCACAGCGCTGTAAGCCAAACTACAACCATTAACATTCACAGCGCTGTAAGCCAAACTACAACCAATAACATTCACAGCGCTGTAAGCCAAACTACAACCAATAACATTCACAGCGCTGTAAGCCAAACTACAATCATTAACATTCACAGAGCTGTGAGTCATACCACAATTATTAACATGCACAGGGATGTGAGTCATCATACAATAATTAACATTCACTGACCTGTGAGCCAAACTACAATCATTAACATTCACAAGGATGTGAGCCAAAACTAAACAGAGTTGAATAAATGTTGGCTACCGGACATGTTTACTTTATATCACAATGGCATTGCACCACACGTCAAATTTGCTTTATTTAAAATGTCACAATAACAACTGTCAGTTTTGTTTTAGGTCCTTGTCAGGTTTAAAACTATGTAACCGTAGGACACGCCACAGCCAGTTGGATTCATTCGAACCAACCTGACACACTCGAACCAGTTGGACACACTCGAACCAGTTGGACACACTCGAACCAGTTGGACACACTCAAACCAGTTGGACACACTCAAACCAGTTGGATGCATTCGAACCAATCGGACACACTCGAACCAGTCGGACACGCTCAAACCAGTTGGACACACTCAAACCAGTTGGACACACTCAAACCAGTTGGACACACTCGAACCAGTTGGACACTCGAACCAGTTGGACACACTCGAACCAGTTGGACACACTCAAACCAGTTGGACACACTCAAACCAGTCTGACACACTCAAACCAGTTGAACACACTCGAACCAGTCGGACACACCAGAACTAGTTCTACTAAACATGGCGACACACCAAAACAATCAGGCCCAGGAAATAGAAATGATATTAGATTATATTGAATATATTGATTTATTTGATTAAATTTGGATAACATATTTGAAATATTTCCGTCTAAAACTGGCCACAAAATAATCTTTACTTCAAGCTTTTTTTATACACAACAATGTGTGTATTGTTCTCACAACTTTGGACCAGGTGTGTATTGGGTCAACTGTTTTATAAGATAACTGAACATTTCCTAGTAAAGTTGTAATTAAATAAGAGTTAGTGTATAGAAGGCCACAGCTGTTTACCTCATAAACGTAGTGTGTTTGATTGAAGCATATTATGTACTTTAATTATTCGCAATGTCACGGGGTCAGACGGTTGGTTTTCCAAAAAATAGATGACTGGCGCTTTAAATAAAACTGAAGCTTAATTCGTCCTTGCAGGTGTCTGTAATCTTTTACGGTTATTACTTGACAAGTTTGCAGATGACATTGTCCAGGTCTCGTCAATTATTGCGCTAATCATTTCTAGATGATTTTACCAGGATTGTGCTGCATAGGTCGGATTAGCTTTCCGTTATTAATATACGCCCCTGATCTATGATCTGTGCATTGCGTATGACAACAATGTTAAAAAAGAAGGTGGCAGTTTGGATAAATATTCTTTGGATAAGATTCTTCGACGCTCCACCGTAAATGAAGACCGTGCAAACAGCGTGGGAACCTTACAATTTTAAAACTGATGATTCGTTGCAATGATATTTAATTACAGTTAGAATGGAATAAAACTGATTTAACCAAAAGGTAAAAAATAATCGTGTTGGTTCTTGTTGCAATATTGGGTAACTGAAAATCTATTAGATCTAGCACTGAGTTGTTTGATGAAAATATTATATTTTGAAACCGTTATAACTTACAGTTTATTAGATTATAAGACCGTTTTATGATTGGTCTTAAAAATTGTTTTATTTTTTATTTTGTACCTTCCAAGTTGAAATTTAAACAATCGGATACAAAGACGAAGCTTTGCTAAATCTAAATTTAATTTAATTTTCTCCAGAACACTGCAAAATACTGACACTTAAAGAGTTTTAACGCATTTCTATTTGTTTGATTTTTCTATTTTTGTCTTGTCTGCTGAAGCAGGCTTTTAGCCGAAACATTATCCTTTTATTTTCCCGTTCTTTCACTTCACATTTCAAACAACCTTGTTCAATGATTTCCTTCGCACAGCTTGATCGCCACCCTTCATTTATAATCCTACGAAACATGTTATAATAGTTTGCATGCGAGGATTATTCCCCCTCCAAAAGAGTTAGGGTGTGTGAGGAGAAGATTATTGTTTCTCCTTGATTTCTTTTTTTTTTTTAAATGTGCAACTGGTCTAGTTTTAGATGTGTGCAACTGGTCTAGTTTTAGATGTGTGCAACTGGTCTAGTTTTAGATGTGTGCAACTGGTCTAGTTTTAGATGTGTGCGGCTAGTCTAGTTTTAGATGAGTGCAACTGGTCTAGTTTTGGATGTGTGCAACAAGTCTAGTTTTAGATGCGTGAAACTAGTCTAGTTTAAGATGTGTGCAAATAGTCTAGTTTTAGATGAGTGCAACTGGTCTAGTTTTAGATGTGTGCAGCTAGTTTTAGATGAGTGCAACTGGTCTAGTTTAAGATGTGTGCAAATAGTCTAGTTTTAGATGAGTGCAACTAGTCTAGATTTAGATGCGTGCAACTGGTCTAGTTTTAGATGAGTGCAACTGGTCTAGTTTCAGATGTGTGCAGCTGGTCTAGTTTTAGATGTGTGCAACAAGTCAAGTTTTAGATGAGTGCAACTGGTCTAGTTTCAGATGTGTGCAGCTAGTCTAGTTTTAAATGAGTGCAACTGGTCTAGTTTTGGATGTCTGCAAATAGTCTAGTTTTAGATGAGTGCAACTGGTCTAGTTTTAGATGTGTGCAGCTAGTTTTAGATGAGTGCAACTGGTCTAGTTTTAGATGCGTGCAACTAGTCTAGTTTTAGTTATGTGCCACTAGACTAGTTTTAGATGAGTGCAACTGGTCTAGTTTTAGATGCATGCAACTAGTCTAGTTTTAGATGCGTGCAAGTAATCTAGCTTTAGATGTGTGCAACTGGTCTATTTTTAGATGAGTGCAACTAGTCTAGATTTAGATGCGTGCAACTGGTCTAGTTTTAGATGAGTGCAACTGGTCTAGTTTTAGAGGCGTGAAGCTTTCAATTTTAATGCAGACTGACATCCTGAGCATGGGAACAAATTTTGTCAATTCAGCTGTAGACTTTCAGGTCTCAATATACTATCTGAAATATACGAAAACGACGTTTCAGGGGCAGACACACATCGTTAGCAGACACAGAACAGTAGCCGACTGCTACCCTGAACTATTTCCTACACGGCATCAACCACATAACTGTAAAACGACTCGCATATTTCTTTATATAGGATACCTCTTGCACTCTTGAGGCCTGTCGTGAAGAATTCTTAAGAGGTGCCACACTCTGGGGAGGCTGTCACAAAACTCTTAATGTGACCTTTTCTATTTGTGTTTCCAAGAACTATAAAAAAGCTTTCAACAAAAAGACATAATTGGTTCATAGGCAAAATAGGTTCTCAACCTCATGCGTCACACAAAAGAGACACATTTTAGAGTCCTTGAGGGTTTATCAAGAGTGCACAGTTGTTGTATTAATTCTAAAAATAACACAGCCACCAAATATGTTTAAGTTGTCAATCTTTCTCAAGCCAAATGAAATAACAGGATCTTTAAATGATTGTGAGTTTGGTTGGTTAAATTTGTATGTGGGCTTTGGCGGGGTGATGAAGGTGACTCTAGTTCAGGAAGTCAATGAATTTTAAATGAAACATAAATTTTAAATTAGCAGCTTTAAATATAGATACTATAAAATTATGTTACGTAATTGAAATATTTCGAATTTTATTTATATATGGGATATTTAAGTGAGTTATATGATTTTTAGTTGAAATATGAGATATGTTTGTGAAATATGTGAAGAGTGCTGCCTCTAAAAGGGCGAGTTTCATAGAAACATGAGGCCGCATAGAAAACTGAGGACCCCACAGAAGCATTATGACCTGGTCTAGTGCCCAGAGGGCCCATTCCTTAAGATGGCATTGAGAAGGGGTTTGCGAGTCTTCATCAAAACATCCGTGGGAGCTGCAGAATCTAACTTGAAAGCAATCGTCCCCCATTTCACACGTAATGAGTTATTGAGACCCTGTTCCTCATATTGTTATTTCTGATCCAAGTTTCTCCTCCTTATCACAAATACACATCATACAGTTTAACCTCTAAACACGTCATAGACCACACGACTATTGTATAATTTACATTAAAATGTTAAACAGAAAACCCATTTACAACAAGAGTTTGATTACGTTATAATAATAATAATAATAATAATAATAATAAAGCTTATTTGAAAATGACGCTTCATCCCCAAAGGCTCAAAGCGCGGTACAAAGTCATCCACATTAAAAGAGAAAAAAAAAACATTTATATTTTACCACATTGAAATACAAAACTTAACATTACAAAAACTACATACCAGAAAACCCATTCTAAGTTTTTCACCCCTTGCAACCATTAACAACACAGGCCACCATACATCTAGGAGATAATTTCTAGCATGAAAAGATGGTAGACAACATCAACCCAGCAGGTGTTTGCGAAATAGATCTGTTTTCAAATCGTTTTTGAAGAACTCCAAAGTCTGGCTGTTTCTGAGAGCAACAGGAAGTGTGTTCCAAATTGTTGGGCCAGAAAATGCAAACTTGCGCCTTACGTTAGTCTCTAGATGAACACGTGTTATAGAGGGTTTGCCACTATCGGGTGAGCGGAGTTATCTAGTGGGTACATAAGGCCTCATGAGCACTTTGAGATAGGATGGCGCCAGGTCATGCAAGCAGCGGTAGCACAGAGTTGCAATTTTGTACTCTATGCGACCGCGACCGGCAGCCAATGCAACTCTCTCAGAAGTGTTTTAGCATGGTCAAATTTGCATTTGTGAAAAACAATGCGAGCTGCATTATTTTGTGCCTTTTGAATTTTATCCAGGAGCGTAGTTGGAATATTTTCATCGTCATTTTCTTTCTACTGTGAATCTGCATCACGAATTTCACACTCATCTCGACTTTCTTTGTCAATCCCATTAAAAAAAAAAAACACCATCTACTAATTCATTTCAAATAAGTTTTTTTTTTCACTTTCCTCTATATCCTTGACACTTGAGATTCTTAAGATCAAATATTTTCCACTACCCACCATGTTAGACAGCAGAAGTCACTTGAAATGACATAAGAATCAGTATAGATATCTCGATTGGGCGTAATGTATCAATTTGATATTTACAATTGAAAAAAACCCATAGAAATCATTTAAAAATAAGGTATTAACTAATTATAAAAAGTGTTGCAACTAGTCTATTGTTAGATGTGTGCAGCTAGTCTATTGTAAGATGTGTGCAGCTAGTCTATTGTTAGATGTGTGCAGCTAGTCTATTGTTAGATGTGTGCAGCTAGTCTATTGTTAGATGTGTGCAACTAGTCTATTGTTAGATGTGTGCAACTAGTCTATTGTTAGATGTGTGAGACTAGTCTATTGTTTGATGTGTGCAACTAGTCTATTGTTAGATGTGTGCAACTAGTCTATTGTTAGATGTGTGCAACTAGTCTATTGTTAGATGTGTGCAGCTAGTCTATTGTTAGATATGTGCAGCTAGTCTATTGTTAGATGTGTGCAACTAGTCTATTGTTAGATGTGTGCAACTAGTCTATTGTTAGATGTGTGCAGCTAGTCTATTGTTAGAAGTGCGCAGCTAGTCTATTGTTAGATGTGTGCAGCTAGTCTATTGTTAGATGTGTGCAGCTAGTCTATTGTTAGATGTGTGCAACTAGTCTATTGTTAGATGTGTGCAACTAGTCTATTGTTAGATGTGTGCAACTAGTCTATTGTTAGATGTGTGCAACTAGTCTATTGTTAGATGTGTGCAACTAGTCTATTGTTAGATGTGTGCAACTAGTCTATTGTTAGATGTGTGCAACTAGTCTATTGTTAGATGTGTGCAGCTAGTCTATTGTTAGATGTGTGCAGCTAGTCTACTGTTAGATGTGTGCAACTAGTCTATTGTTAGATGTGTGCAACTAGTCTATTGTTAGATGTGTACAACTAGTCTATTGTTAGATGTGTGCAACTAGTCTATTGTTAGATGTGTGCAACTAGTGTATTGTTAGATGTGTGCAACTAGTCTATTGTTAGAAGTGTGCAGCTAGTCTATTGTTAGATGTGGGCAGCTAGTCTATTTTTAGATGTGTGCAACTAGTCTATTGTTAGATGTCTGCAACTAGTCTATTGTTAGATGTGTGCAGCTAGTCTATTGTTAGATGTGTGCAGCTAGTCTATTGTTAGATGTGTGCAGCTAGTCTATTGTTAGATGTGTGCAACTAGTCTATTGTTAGATGTGTGCAGCTAGTCTATTGTTAGATGTGTGCAGCTAGTCTATTGTTAGATGTGTGCAGCTAGTCTATTGTTAGATGTGTGCAGGTGCTTAAACGTTACAGAGCACATTAGACTTGTGCTGTAGATTTTTTTAAAAACGTAGCCTGCACCAGCGTGCCACAAATTGTGGTCCGCGGACCTTCTCCCGTTCGCGAGCCTTACTTTGCCGGTCCGCACAACATGAATATATGACTGGTGAAACAAAAAGAAAATATAATTAGTTAATCTGGCACTGATTCCTGGGACAATTTTCTAAAATTCCCCACCAATCCCGCAAACCAGCAAGTTTGGGAAACACTAGACTACACGACAGTGGATATAATGGTAACTATTTATCATTAAAATATCAAAAATGACGAGTCTGTCTGGTACGTGACACTAACAGGACACGAAAACTAAGTTGGTTTTTTTTTTTTCTTTACGACCGTCACCCAAGTGTTAAGCTCTTTTTGAAACCATCCCCCCACCCCGACACATTGAAGAGTGCGGGATGTAACACATATAAGGCAGTGACATGTATTTTAATAAAACATATGTTGTTGCCCTGAAGAAAGCAGGTCAGATCCTGTTTGTTCTTCATTTCATGTTTAGACAATTTATGTTAACAAAAGGTTGTTGCCGTGGAGAAAAGCAGGTCAGTTTATATTCGTTCTTCACTTGATCTTTAGAAAAATTAATTTAAAAATACAGAAACAGTTTTATACATTTTTATTTTAAGTCACAAAAAATTGCAATAAAGTTCAAATGATTAGTAGTAATAAATATCAGTAAATATAAATATAATCTTTTTTTTTTTTTTTATTCTTTCATAAACATATATTTTCCGGCGAAGTTTTTAAATATTTTGAAATAATTTAACCCAAAAAATGACATTCTTTTTATTGTAAGTTTGAGATTCTTGAAAGCGTTCATTCAGTGTTTGTTTTAACGGAGCCTACAACATGACTAAAGGGATGACATGCTGTTTTAAACCCGAATAAAAAATGTAATTTTTTGACATCCACAGCAATGTTTTTTTTCTTCAGCTTGGATCATTTCATCGTGTTTAAAACCCGTGATACACACACGACGCCTTGAACCAGTGGCAGTAACTGTAAGACTAAGACTAACATGACGCCTTGAACAAGTGGCAGTAACTGTAAGACTAAGACTAACATGACGCCTTGAACAAGTGGCTGTAACTGTAAGACTAAGACTACCATGACGCCTTGAACATTTGGCAGCAACTGTAAGACTAAGACTACCATGTATGACTCGGGATACGATGCGGAGGCTGATCTCATCGCGAACAAGGGCCTTCACATCATCTTCATCATCGCCATACTGCTGGCCAACGGGTTGCTCATATTCAATAATGTCCGTAAAGGTGATGTCATGTACAAGCCAAAAACTCTGACAATTTTATCACTGTCCATCGGAGATGTTCTTATGGCTCTGTTTCCCATGGTTGTGGCAACGAGAATGTTTTTCGGAGATTTCGCACAGAGAACAATGCCATGTAGCTTGATTACAACGTACACCGTTTACATGCCATATCTGATTACTTTTGTGTATGGTCTCGGATTAATGGTTTTAGGATTAGAAATTGTTCAACATCACAAAATTTCATCCTTAAGTAAAAACTCCAAACTCATCTGTTCATTGATTGCCAGCAGTATTCCGTGGATTCTTGGACTTATTATCATCTTACCTCTTGGTTTGGCTAACATTGATATGGACACGTGCGAGAATAGTCAGACTATTGATCAGTTCAAAGCCTTGATTGTCTTAGGCATTCTCCTGCCAGCTTGTGGTGCCGTCATTACTTCAATCATTGCCAAGTGCATAGACCAGATCCTTTACCTTTACCAACAATTAGTGAGTAGCCATCCACAAGTCATGGTTGACTTAAATACTCACACTATGGCTTATGCCAATGCGCCACACAATGAGCAACAGGGTCCTACACCAACAACTCCAGGCAATCCACATCCACGGCCGTCAACACTCCAAGCTCAAACGTATGCTGCACATATGCAATTTCCAAACAGTCAACGTCACGTCAAGCATATGTACAATCTGCCATCAACACAGCCCTACGCCCTACCAGCTCAACCACACTATATTCGTAGTGGTAACCAAAACAGTAATTCTTTCATTGTCCCTACTCCATTGGTAACCATGGAAACTGCAGTCGAAGTCCCGATCGACACAACACAGAGACGTAACAGGCTTCTCGTCATCTCAATCATCTATTTCATATTAGTTACGCCTTTAGCTATTTTCCACCTCGGCTACTTGAACCCAGACGTCACACCGATGGGAGTAGTGGCTTCTGTGACTATTGGAAACATAGTATACTGGCTCAATGTTATCAGATCTGTCATCACACCACTTATAATGCACGGCTATTCTGATAACTAAAACTTCATTGGTAATGCAGAGTGACGTAAAGAGCATGGGAAGATTTCTCAGATCTTATGTAGACTTTCAAATTCTCAATGTACAATTTGAAAATACAAAACCGCAGTTTCAGAGCATACTTAGAACATTAGCAGACACAGAACTTTAGCAGACACATAACTTTACCAGACACAGAACGTTAGCAGACACAGAATTTTACCAGACACAGAATTGTACCAGACACAGAATTTTACCAGACACAGAACGTTACCATACATAGAACATTAGCAGACATAGAACGTTAGCAGACACAGAACGTTAGCAGACACAGAACGTTAGCAGACACAGAACGTTAGCAGACTCAGAACGTTAGCAGACACAGAACGTTAGCAGACATAGAACATTAGCAGACACAGAACATTAGCAGACACAGAACATTAGCAGACACAGAACATTAGCAGACATAGATCGTTAGCAGAAATAGAACGTTAGCAGACATAGAACGTTAGCAGACATAGAACATTAGCAGACACAGAACATTAGCAGACACAGAACATTAGCAGACACAGAACATTAGCAGACACAGAACATTAGCAGACACAGAACATTAGCAGACATAGATCGTTAGCAGAAATAGAACGTTAGCAGACATAGAACGTTAACAGACATAGAACGTTAGCAGAGTAAGAACGTTAGCAGACATAGAACGTTAGCAGACATAGAACGTTAGCAGACATAGAACGTTAGCAGACATAGAACTTTAGCAGACACAGAATGTTAGCAGACACAGAACGTTAGCAGACACAGAACTTTAGCAGACACAGAACGTTAGCAGACACAGAACGTTAGCAGACACAGAACATTAGCAGACATATAACGTTAGCAGACATATAGCGTTAGCAGACATAGAACGTTAGCAGACATAGAACGTTTGCAGACATAGAACGTTAGCAGACATAGAACGTTAGCAGATAGAGTACGTTAGCAGACATAGAACATTGGCAGACATAGAACGTTGGCAGACATAGAACGTTGGCAGACATAGATCATTAGCAGACATAGAACATTAGCAGACACATAACATTAGCAGACATACATCTCGTGGTACATCGCTTTCTTTCTATCATCTTTTTAATTGAAGTCCCGGCGTTCGTGTCAAACATTTCCTGTTAATGCGTCTATTGTTTTCGCCTTATAAATATTAACTCATCAATGGTTAGATACAAAGAATACATTTAATAGAAAGCCGCATAATAAAAACCATTTGTCAAACAATTTCAAGCCTCATTATTTGAACTGTCAATGTTACCAAAATTATATTTTTTTAAAAATTCATCAGCTAAAAAGTGTTTGGATTTTCCCTATGCTTTCATTATAGAAATGAAAGGGTATCAAATAAGTGGTTTTTTGGTTTGTGTGTGTGTGTGCTTCATAAAAGATGTCATTATATGCTCAAGATTTGTGGAATTACTTACATTCTAACAATATAAATGTAATTTTATTAGAAGACACTTTTTCTACCCCATATTTTAGTTTACAATTTCGCTAAAAGTATGTGCCACTAAAAAACGATTCATTAATTTTTTTCAAAGATTCCTTATTTTAAATATCTCTAATGTATATTTTTTTCCATTATTTAGTCGTGCCGAATGGTGAGTGGTTGTGGGATGCTCACTATAGTTTTAAACTCTTTTTTTTTTAAAAACTAGAATATATGATCCGGTATTACCGGGTTCATAATGGAAGACATGTCAAACCAATCTCCATATTTTCATGTCCCAACATCTAATAATCCAATTTTTACGAATGCAACTGAATTGGGATTTGATGTACTGTATAAAAATGAATGAGAAAAAAATGCACTTGAAATGAAATGAATATTTGGGAAGTAATAAATTAGACTCCTGCTCCAGTAGTACTTGGTGAGAGCAGAACTACTGCAACAGTTGTGCTTCACCATTGTTTTTCACAAATTATTTCCTTACTAGGACATTTTGTAGTCAACATTTAGTAATATTTATTTTACTTGTTGTTGCTGTTCTTCTTGATATTCTTATTGTCCTTATTGTTTTTGTTCTTGTTATTGCTGTTTTTGTTGTTGCTGTTCTTGTTGCTGCTGTTCTCGTTGTTGCTGTTCTGGTTTTTGCTGTTCTTGATGTTCTTGTTGCTGTTTTTGTTTTGCCGTTCTTGTTGTTTCTGTTCTTTTTCTTGCTGTACTTTTTGTTGGTGTTCTTGTTTTGTTGTCCTTGTTGTTGCTGTTCTTGTTGTTTTGTGTTCTTGTTATTGCTGTTTTTTGTTGTTGCTGTTCTTGCTGTTACTGTTCTTGCTTTTGCTGTTCTTGCTGTCGCTATTCTTGTTGTTGATGCTCTTGTTACTGCTGTTTTTTGTTATTGCTGTTCTTGTTATTGCTGTTCTTGATGTTCTTGTTGTTTCTGTTCTTGTTGCTGCTGTACATTTTGTTGCTGTTATTGTTGTTGCTGTTCTCGTTGCTTTTGTTCTGATTTTTGCTGTTCTTGATGTTCGTTTTGCTGTTTTTGTTTAGCCGTTCTTGTTATTACTGTTCTTTTTCTTGCTGTACTTTTTATTGATGTTCTTGTTGTTGTTGTCCTTAATGTTTATGTTCTTTTTTGCTGTTCTTTTTGTTGCTGTTCTTGTTTCTGTTTCGTACTTTCTGTTCTTGGTGTTTCTGTTCTTGTTGTTGCTGTTCTTGTTATTGTTGGTCTTGCTATTGCTGTTCTTGTTATTTTTATTCTTGTTATTCCTCTTCTTGCTGCTGCTGTTCATTTTTTTCTATTCTTTTTGTTGCTGTTTTGGTTGTTGCTATTCTTGCTGTTGCTGTTCTTGTTGTTTATGTTCTTTTTTGCGGTTATTTTTATTTATGTTCTTGTTTCTGTTTCGTACTTACTGTTCTTGTGATTTCTGTTCTTGTTGTTGCTGTTCTTGTTGTTGCTGGTCTTGTTGTTGCTGTTCTTGTTATTGCTGGTCTTGTTGTTGCTGTTCTTGTTGCTGCTGTTCTTGTTATTGCTGGTCTTGTTGTTGCTGTTCTTGTTGCTGCTGTTCTTATTGTTGCTGTTCTTGTAGCTACTGTTATTGGTGTTGCTGTTATTGTTGTTGCTGGTCTTGTTGTTGCTGGTCTTGTTGTTGCTGGTCTTGTTGTTGCTGTTCTTGTTGTTGCTGATCTTGTTGCTACTGTTATTGGTGTTGCTGTTATTGTTGTTGCTGGTCTTGTTGTTGCTGTTCTTGTTGCTACTGTTATTGGTGTTGCTGTTATTGTTGTTGCTGTTCTTGTTGTTGCTACTGTTATTGGTGTTGCTGTTATTGTTGTTGCTGGTCTTGTTGTTGCTGTTCTTGTTGCTACTTTTATTGTTGTTGCTGTTATTGTTGTTGCTGTTCTTGTTGCTGCTGTTCTTGTTGTTGCTGTTCTTGTTGCTACTGTTATTGTTGTTGCTGTTATTGTTTTTGCTGGTCTTGTTGCTGCTTTCTTGTTGTTTCTGTTCTTGTTGTTGCTGTTCTTGTTGTTGCTACTGTTATTGGTGTTGCTGTTATTGTTGTTGCTGGTCTTGTTGTTGCTGTTCTTGTTGTTGCTGTTCTTGTTGCTACTGTTATTGGTGTTGCTGTTATTGTTGTTGCTGGTCTTGTTGCTGCTGTTCTTATTGTTGCTGTTCTTGTAGCTACTGTTATTGGTGTTGCTGTTATTGTTGTTGCTGTTCTTGTTGTTGCTGTTCTTGTTGCTACTGTTATTGGTGTTGCTGTTATTGTTGTTGCTGTTCTTGTTGTTGCTACTGTTATTGGTGTTGCTGTTATTGTTGTTGCTGGTCTTGTTGTTGATGTTCTTGTTGCTACTTTTATTGTTGTTGCTGTTATTGTTGTTGCTGTTCTTGTTGCTGCTGTTCTTGTTGTTGCTGTTCTTGTTGCTACTGTTATTGTTGTTGCTGTTATTGTTTTTGCTGGTCTTGTTGCTGCTTTCTTGTTGTTTCTGTTCTTGTTGTTGCTGTTCTTGTTGTTGCTACTGTTATTGGTGTTGCTGTTATTGTTGTTGCTGGTCTTGTTGTTGCTGTTCTTGTTGTTGCTGTTCTTGTTGCTACTGTTATTGGTGTTGCTGTTATTGTTGTTGCTGGTCTTGTTGTTGCTGTTCTTGTTGTTGCTGTTCTGGTTGCTACTGTTATTGGTGTTGCTGTTATTGTTGTTGCTGGTGTTGTTGTTGCTATTCTTGTTGTTGCTGTTCTTGTTGCTATGGTTATTGGTGTTGCTGTTATTGTTGTTGCTGGTCTTGTTGTTGCTGTTCTTGTTGTTGCTGTTCTTGTTGCTACTGTTATTGGTGTTGCTGCTATTGTTGTTGCTGGTCTTGTTGTTGCTGTTCTAGTTGTTGCTGTTCTTGTTGTTGCTGTTATTGTTGTTGTTTTTTTGTTGTTGATATTCATCAAAATGTTTTATAAATATTTTTACAAAAACTTTAAAATAAACTTTGAAAAGTCGCCCAATTCTTAACAATAATTCTGATAGCTTCAATAGCTTTGGCAATTCTATCAGAAGGACGTAACACGTGGCACCAAAAAAAGCTTGTTAATCTATTTTTTCTGGCTGCCTAAACATTGAGGCCCATTAGAATTTGTAGGCCCTTCACTTAAGCCTACTTATCCTGTTTGGAAATCCTTCCCCGATCTTAAGTGCATCTCCAGTTAAATTATATTTTCCTTCTATTGCCATCAGCGGCGGTGCGGAATTTTAATGTCGTCACCCCCATCAGACTCTTCCGAAGGTTCTTTCTTGTTAACTTAAGTCAACAGTCTAACAATGACACGAACAAAGACAAATTACTTGAAAGTCGAGAGGTCAATGTATTTAAAAACTTTAAAAACTTTAAGCTATAGCTACTTTTACATTAAATTTGATTTATCTAAAATTGTCCTTTCTTGTACTTCAACGCTGCAAAATTGCCAGTCACTTGCCTGTCCCAAGATGGATCGTAAAAAGTTCTTGATAAGCCTTAGTTTTGAAAAGATGCGCTCACATGAAGCCACAGAAACACAGATTGATTAGCGAGAGAATTGGAATACATTCTAGAAAGTCCCATTTACCTATGAATTTTTAAAATATCAAATACTGTCCGTACATGACTTTGTCAAATTTAATATCAGCTGCCTTTAAATGTCTTCTAAGCTTTGGTATTTCTTTTAAAAGTTCATCTTCTGATAACTCATTGTAGAAAGAGGTTAATTTTGGAATAGAACCGATAACTCTTCTTCACTTTCTGATAGTAGACTCTCGGGTTCAACAGCCACAAATATGTATAATAATTCCTTGACCACTGATGATCCAATTAAAGCGATCAATACACTCCATCATCTCCATGCGGTTTTCTTCTGACAGAGAGAGTCGTGCATCTTTTAATTATTCCCTTGCTCTTCTCTCTATGAAATTACATACTGGTCTCAACTCAAAAGTGCCTTTTCAATAGCATGTTCCTCCAAGTGACAGCGCTTCTCGTGAAGAAACAATCTTAAGACCTCTGTTGGTCACCACTTTGTCAAGAGTAAAGCTTTTAGTCCGCAAATATTGCAGTGTAAGATAAACTTTCTCAAGTATATCAAACCAATTCTAAAAGTAGCAGATAATCGTGAAATCACGGCCAGCTTTTAAAAGATCTTGTGCTGTACCTCTTGTATCAAAATTTTCAAGAGGATCACATAAAACTTCAATCATCTCCACACATTCATCAAACGTATCTTTCACTGTTTTAACAGCCGCATGATGAGCACTCCAACGTGTTGTTGACGATATTTTCACCAACATTCAAGTGTGTTCAATTTAAACATTTCATGACTGACTGGATGCACCAAAGAAGGAAAATATTCTCCCAAGAGTACCAAAAAACGTAATACTTGAAGCATTTTCGGCAAAGGGGTGTTGAACACACAAGTTAAGCCAATGGCACATACAACCATTAAAATCGCTTTATTTTTCTTTTCGGCATTGCTTGAACATCTCCGTGGATTCCAGACAATGTAGCAGCATTATCGTAACTTTGACGTCTACATCATTGTGTCCAATCACGTTTTAGTTTTGTAAGAATGTCAGAACTGAGGTCATCAGCTTTTTTCCCCTTAAAGGGAAAAATCCAAGAAACACTTCTCTCACTTCAACTTTCTCATTATGACTTTTCACACATCTGATCACTTTAGACATCTGGTCAGTTTGTGATATGTCAGGTGTACTGTCAAACACAGGTACAAAGTACCTCGTAACGTTCACATCCATGATAAGAATCTCCTTCACATGATTTGTAGGGACAAAAATTTATAAATTCATTTTGTGTGTCTGGTGAAAGGTAAGATGTGGATGTATTTACTATGGATATGCTCCTCTTTAATCTCATTAGGTGCTCTTTTAGCCCTGGGTCATACTTAGATAGCATCTCAAACATTTCAAGAAACTTTCTGCTACTTAATGACGATTAAACTTCGTTGTGGACATGAATGCAGCCTCTACAAATGGTTTGTTGTAGCCTACCACAGCGCTACGAATGGTTTGATGTAGCCAAGCACAACGCTACAAATAGTTTGTTGTAGCCTACCACAGCGCTACAAATGGTTTGTTGTAGCCTACCACAGTGCTACAAATGGTTTGTTGTAGCCTACCACAGCGCTACAAATGGTTTGATGTAGCCAAGCACACCGCTACAAATGGTTTCATGTAGAGACTCACTTTTTTAGAGGCCGCACGCTTTACAAATTTCACATTAATATCACATAGTTCACATGTATATCACATAGCTCACATACATATCACATAGTTCACATACATATCATATAGTTCATATACATATCACATAGCTCACATACATATCACATAGCTCACATACATATCACATAGTTCATATACATATCACATAGCTCACATACATATCACATAGGTCACATACATATCAAATTTTGCACTTAAGTAGCCTATATATACATTACATTAAAAATAGTTCAATTACATAACTCAGTTTTATAATGCATGTCTTTAAAGCTAATTTGATTTTTTTTTTTAAATTTAAATTCATTAACTTCTGAAATTGAATAAACTACTACACGCCACCCGAAACCACCCCCCCCCTCCCCCTTTCCTTTTCAGAATGTGACCAACCTCATTCCTTTTAAATGACAAAAAAATACCTCCTGTTAGGGGGGTCGTTCATTAATTACGCCACGTCAAAAATTGCCTTTTAGGCTTCCCTCCCCCCATATCACGAAGTGTCACAAATTGTTTACCCCCCTCCCCCCCCCCTACTCCCCAGTGTCACGTCACGCCTAAAACAAGTGAAAACATTTTCCTTTTAAATGACAAAAAAATACCTCCTGTTAGGGGGGTCTTTCATTAATTACGCCACGTCAAAAATTGCCTTTTAGGCTTCCCTCCCCCCATATCACGAAGTGTCACAAATTGTTTACCCCCCTCCCCCCCCCTTACTCCCCAGTGTCACGTCACGCCTAAAACAAGTGAAAACATGCATAACATTGTCATAACTTAACTAAGATTTTATTTTATTCTTTCACATTTCGCCACAACGGATTAAGTTTTAGTATTATTAGCACGCTGAGGTTCATAGTAACTGTAATACCTGAGCCAATTTCGACCTCATTTTAATGTTTTTATAAATTAATTAAATACAGATTTTTTATTTTTTTTTTATTTGAAAATTTTAGATTTTAAAAAAAACATTTTTTATTTTTTTTTTTTTAAAATTTTTTATTTTAAAAAAAACAAAAACAAATGTCCGCCCAGGTTTTTTTTTCCCTCTCCCCCCCCCCCCCTGTCACAAAGTGTCGCGTTGTTTGCGAACGACCCCTTATATATTTTTGTTTAAAGAAGGAGAGGGCAAGTAAAATATTTGGGTGGTGCGTTATGTTTAGCATTAATAAAACCACAGTGCACTCTGGCCAGGCGCTCAAGGCTTCTAAAACCGTTGTAAATTTCTCTAACTGCATGAAGCTTATGGGTGCGATCCTCAAGAGTTGGATGAACCCCTTGATGCCTTTCTGATGAAAGCTTTCTAATGAATCTCGGACTCAGAGATACAGAGACCGTCCCGTTGGTAGATTTGCGACAGTCACCCACAGGTTGAGCACCCCTGACACCATCCCCACGACAGGCCCGAGGAGTGTGGTACGTCACTCCTATAAAGGTAGAGACGTGTGGTGTAATTAACATACTGCATGGTGTTGCCGTGAAGAAAGCAGGTCAGTTGTTGTTTTTTTCGATCTTCCATTTAGGTTTAGACAATTTATTTAAAATCAAAACAGTATTATACATCTCAAGTTTACGTCACATAAATTGCAATGAAATTCAGATGATTGTTGTAATAAATATAAAAATCGGTAAAAATTGATATAATCTCAATAAAATTCTTCTTTCATACACATGGCAATGCTTGATCCAGCAAAGGTGTTGAATATTTTTGTAATAATTTAACAAAAGAGGACATTCTTTTTATTGTCAAGTTTAGATACTTGAAAGATTTCATTCAGTGATTGTTTCCAGACAAATAATAATAATCATTATTCATTTTTGATAGCAACAGCAACTCGACTGAATAGAAAATATTCTAAAACAATTTTTTTTTTTCAGGTTGGATAATTTGATCGTTTTTAAATCCTGCGACATAAATTTTACATCTTGAACATTTGGGAGTAACGGTAAGACTAAGACTACCATGTACGACTCAGGATTTGATGGGGATGCTGATCTGATGGCCAAAAAGTGCCTTCACATCATCTTCATCATCCTCATCCTGCTGGCCAACGGTTTGCTCATATTCAAGAATGTCCGTAAATGTGATTTTATGCACAAGCCAAAAACTCTGACAATTTTATCGTTGGCCATGGGAGATGTTCTTTTGGCTCTGTTTCCCATGGTTGTGACTACTGGCCTTTTGTTCGGTGATTTAACGACATTATCATGTAGTTCGATTTCATCTTACTCCGTTTACATGCCATATATGATCACTTTTGTGTATGGTCTTGGATTGATGGTATTAGGATTAGAAATTGTTCAACATCACAAAATTTCATCCTTAAGTAAAAACTCAAAAATCATTTGTTCATTGATTGCCAGCAGTAGTCCGTGGATTCTTGGACTGATAATTTTTTTGCCTCTTGGTTTTGCTAACATTGATATGGACACGTGCGAGTGGAATCAGACTATTGCTCAGTTAAAAGCCTTGATTGTCTTAGGCATTCTCCTGCCAGCATGTGTTGCTGTCATTACTTCTATCATTGTCAAGTGCATAGACCAGGCCAAGTACCAACAATTAGTGAATACCAACCCACAAGTCATGGTTGACTTAAATACTCACAACGCGGCTTATGACAATGCTCCATGCAGCTTACAACTGGAATCTAATCCAACAGCTCCTTTCAATACATATCCACAGCCGTCTGGGTTCACCACGCCAACGTATCCTGCTGAACTCCAATGTCCAAACGATCAACAGCAATCCCAACAGTTCTACGATCCACAATCTGCACAGCCCTACGCCCTACCCACTAAACAACACTACATTCATAGCGGCGACCAACATGGAAATTCTGTCATCGTCCCGACTCCAATGGCAACCATGGAAACTGCAGTAGAAGTCGCGATCGATTCAACGCAGAGACGTAACAGGCTTCTCGTCATCTCAATCATCTATTTCATATTAGTTACGCCTTTAGCTATTTTCCACCTCGGCTACTCTTTGAACCCAGACCCCATACGGATGGGACTACTGGCTTCTGTGACTATAGATCACATGGTATATTGGCTAAATGTTATCAGATCTGTCATCACACCACTTATAATGCACGGCTATTCTAATAACTAAAGCGTTCATTGTTAATTCAGAGTGACGTATAGAGCATGGAAATATTTCTCAGATCGTATGTGGACTTCCAATTCTCAATATACAACCCATATTACAATACTATCAATGTAAAAAAAAAAAGCTGAATTAATCTTTTCAAATATTCCATGTATTTTATTTTAAAGATCTTTTAATCTTTGTTTTGTTCATGTGTAGCTGTACCGAGTGGTCAGTCGTTGGTGGAGGGTCACTACAGTTTAAAACTCTGATATCAAAATTCTGGAAATTAGACCTCTAGAAATACAGCTTTTTGAGAGTATGGTAACCGGGAAATGAGGTCTTGCGAACAAAAGCTTCTGTTTCTGAGAGTATGATAGGCAGGAAATGAGGTCTTGAGAAATATAGCGTTCTTTTTCTGAGAGTATGGTAACCACGACGTGAGGTCTTGAGAATTATAGCTTTTGTTTCTGAGGGTATGGCAGCCAGGAAATGAGGTCTTGAGAATTATAGTTTTTGTTTCTGAGGGTATGGCAGCCAGGAAATGAGGTCTTGAGAATTATAGCTTTTGTTTCTGAGAGTATGGCAGCCAGGACATGAGGTCTTGAGAACTATAGCTTTTGTTTCTGAGAGTATGGCAGCCAGGAAATGAGGTCTTGAGAATTATAGCTTTTGTTTCTGAGAGTATGGCAGCCAGGACATGAGGTCTTGAGAATTATAGCTTTTATTTCTGAGAGTATGGCAGCCAGGACATGAGGTCTTGAGAATTATAGCTTTTGTTTCTGAGAGTATGGCAGCCAGGAAATGAGGTCTTGAGAATTATAGCTTTTGTTTCTGAGAGTATGGCAGCCAGGAAATGAGGTCTTGAGAATTATAGCTTTTGTTTCTGAGAGTATGGCAGCCAGGAAATGAGGTCTTGAGAATTATAGCTTTTGTTTCTGAGGGTATGACAGCCAGGAAATGAGGTCTTGAGAATTATAGCTTTTGTTTCTGAGAGTATGGCAGCCAGGAAATGAGGTCTTGAGAATTATAGCTTTTGTTTCTGAGAGTATGGTAACCAGATAAAGCACAAGAAAAGGTGGAAGAAAAATAAAAATATATGAAAGCCAGATATGAAGGCTGATAATGTGTTCTGTAGGCTCCCATGACTCAAATCGAGCGTTCTGTAGGCTCCCTTGACTCAAATCGAGCGTTCTGTAGGCTCCCGTGACTCAAATCGAGCGTTCTGTAGGCTCCCATGACTCAAATCGAGCGTTCTGTAGGCTCCCATGACTCAAATCGAGCGTTCTGTAGGCTCCCTTGACTCAAATCGAGTGTTCTGTAGGCTCCCTTGACTCAAATCGAGCGTTCTGTAGGCTCCCTTGACTCAAATCGAGCGTTCTGTAGGCTCCCATGACTCAAATCGAGCGTTCTGTAGGCTCCCTTGACTCAAATCGAGCGTTCTGTAGGCTCCCTTGACTCAAATCGAGCGTTCTGTAGGCTCCCTTGACTCAAATCGAGCGTTCTGTAGGCTCCCATGACTCAAATCGAGCGTTCTGTAGGCTCCCATGACTCAAATCGAGCGTTCTGTAGGCTCCCATGACTCAAATCGAGCGTTCTGTAGGCTCCCATGACTCAAATCGAGCGTTCTGTAGGCTCCCATGACTCAAATCGAGCGTTCTGTAGGCTCCCATGACTCAAATCGAGCGTTCTGTAGGCTCCCATGACTCAAATCGAGCGTCTTGCCTTCAGCTAACTGATATAGGAACCGTGAGGACCTATAAAACCACAATGAAATCGTAATGTATGTTCCTCCGTCTGACTAGCAGAGAGAAAGAGGGGGGGGGGTAGCTCGCTGCGCACGAGTGACCAGCCACAACTCACGCCCCCAGCACACAGCATTTCGCTGCTTCTAATTGTTGCGGGCGAGTGCGTGCCACTGCCTTAAATTTGTGAAAGCTATCGCAGTAACGCTCAGCGCGTCTATCCGCACGAACTTGTAATGTGCCATTTTAAAGGTTTTTTTTATAGATTTTTTCACTAACTTCATCTTTCAACGTTATTCATGTCTTTGATTCGCCTATTTGTAACTACGTGTCGGTATCATTAATCCCTTGTTTTATGTTAATTAGCTTTACACCAGGGTATAACTCTGAAAATACCAACTATTTACTGTTTATTTCCAAAAATATATAAATAAATAATAAATAAATGAATAAATAAATAAATAAATATATATATATATATATATATATATATATATATATATATATATATATATATGTGTGTGTGTGTGTGTGTGTGTGTATGTGTGAGTATGTGTATTTTATTATTATATTACCATATCAGTTATCATTTTTTAATATTATGTATCACCTAGAATGATTTCGTTAAATAATAATTTCTACGACTCAGTGAATCGCTCAATAGAACCAATACTAGCAATAAGCAATTTAAAAAAAAGTTTAATTACTGCATAGTTGCACTAATTAATTAGAGCTTAACTACTGAACTAAATTCACTTGGTGATAATTGAACTACTGCACTAGTTGCACTTAATGATAGTTGAACTACTGCACTAGTTGCACTTGGTGAGAGTTGAACTACTGCACTAGGCGCACTTGGTGAGAGTTGAACTACTGCACTAGGCGCACTTGGTGAGAGTTGAACTACTGCACTAGTTGCACTTGGTGAGAGTTGAACTACTGCACTAGTTGCACTTGGTGAGAGTTTAACTACTGCACTAGTTGCACTTGGTGAGAGTTGAACTACTGCACTAGGCGCACTTGGTGAGAGTTGAACTACTGCACTAGTTGCACTTGGTGAGAGTTGAACTACTGCACCAGTTGCACAGTTTTGAACGGGTTGATAGTTGACTTACTGCACTAGTTGCACTGTTTTGCACTGGGTGAGAGTTGAACTACTGCACTAATTATACTGGGTGAGAGTTGAACTACTGCACCACTTGTACACAATTATTTTTCAAGAAAGAAATGCAACGCTAATTGTACAAGAAGTGTACGTCGTTGGTCAATGTTCAAATTGTGTCCACGATCAACATGATTCGTGTCATTGGCCAAATTAATCATTGTGAAATTCATCAAACTATTGTTAGAAGACAAGTGTTTTTAAAGAAATTATCCAATGACTCAGTCCTGCTTCAACTCATTCGAAGTAGTACAAAGTCAATTGATAAAATTCTTATTTTATGTTCATATATCATGTTTTTATCAAGACGTTGTCTTTATTTTAATTTTTTTTTTCAATATTAAGTGCCCATTACTATATGTAAATTATAATATTAATTTCTAAATAAATGTGTTGTGTTTTTTTCCAACTCACTCTTCCATTTTATACTCTTTGCTGACTATCTTATTTAAACAATAAAGTGTTACACAACATTTCAATAATAAAACCCAACTAGACGACACGCCGCGTAGCATGCGTCGCAGAATTGCGCATAGATGAGTGAAGTCTTCGTGCAAGACACAGTTGTCCAAATGGGGTGGGTTGGAGGATACAACTGTGATATGGCCCGCCAAACCTTAGCGGCAGCAGTGCGTGAACTTTCCATTTAGTAAAGTTACTTGACAAAACATGAACTCAAGTAACGCACATTTAAGAATCCTAATATTTGCTACACCTTTCCCCCATGATACGTCACTGCACACTTTTTATTTCACGCCCCTGAACTATATTAATATTTTCATGTCCAAACCACATTTAAACCGAAAATTTTCTACACAATACCTATATTGAGACGATTTCATTTCCGAAAAGAAAATATTACGCACCAAACGCAATTGCGTTATAATATATATATATATATCATTTATAGCGTAGTTATAAGGAATTATTATATTTTGAGCGCTAGTGAACTCATTATTGAACCATATTTTGGTGTATCTATAAATAGCCTGCGTGGCGTTTGACCCGTCTTGTTTGACCTTTGCTGGCGAATTATATATATATATATATATATATATATATATATATAGATTTAACAAAGCCGTTCATTAGTGGTATCAAATTTGATACACAGCGCCCTGATGCGTCGCGAAAATGGCGCGCCTGCCTTGAGGTTTAACATACGCGTACTTAGCCTGCAGGGAAATCCGCCCTTGATCTAAGTGCATTCCAGTTAAATTATATTTCACCTCTTTTTTATTTTTTTTGTTGTCATTCTGTTAGGCCTAAATGCGTATCCTGTTTACACAAAACTAACTGGTGCGCCCTGGTACGTCGACGCCATGTTGAAATACAATTTTTTTTTTTACTTCCCTTATCTGGATACACAGATAGAATCAACCGATGCATCCTAGAGACAACGTATAAAATAAAGTATACCGGGAAATAGTACTGATGCTTTGATAGATATGACTTTGTGTTGACCTCGTAGACATGCTATAATGCTGCAGTACTGATGCTTTGATAGATATGACTTTGTGTTGACCTCGTAGACATGCTATAATGCTGCAGTACTGATGCTTTGATAGATATGACTTTGTGTTGACCTCGTAGACATGCTATAATGCTGCAGTACTGATGCTTTGATAGATATGACTTTGTGTTGACCTCGTAGACATGCTATAATGCTGCAGTACTGATGCTTTGATAGATATGACTTTGTGTTGACCTCGTAGACATGCTATAATGCTGCAGTACTGATGCTTTGATAGATATGACTTTGCCGTTTACCTAGTAGACATGCTATAATGCTGCAGTACTGATGCTTTGATAGATATGACTTTGCCGTTTACCTCGTAAGACATGCTATAATGCTGCAGTTTATAGCAGGCGACAAATTTCTACTTTGCCGGGTACACAAACAATCATTAACATCCACAACGCTGTGTGACAAACTCCACTGATTGTCATTCACAGAGTTGTCAGTCAAAACTAAACAGGGTTGAAATGAATCTTGGTTACCCGCCACGTCTTGTTTACTTTTATAATCTTATCAGACATTAATTCCATTTTAAATGAATGGTTTCAAACTTAACTTTTTTTTTTAATTCTTTTTTGTCTGTCGACATTTAAAGAATGGAATTCAAGGACGCTTCTTTCGCTGCATCTGATATGAATCTAACTGTCTCCACAACACAGCCCGCTACTGACACTTGAGTTTTTATCGCATAGGTTGTTTTCTGTTTTGACTGCTGAAGAAGGGTTTTTAAATGTAACTTTCTTGTGTTATTGAAACGTAAGTTCACTTCACGTTTCAACATATTTCGCTCAATGATTTCCTCCTTCACAAGGCTTGGAAACCGTGTGTTTTCTTTTATTATCCTACAATACATGATGAATCAATTATGAATGCGATGGTTATCCCCTCTCTAAATAACGGGGGTGGTTAAGAGCGGGACAATCGTTAACAAGCGCTTAACAAGGTCCTGTTGTGGAAAAAAGGGGGGGGGGTGTGGCTTTCTATTCTCCTGGCTTTCTTTTAAATGATGTGCAACTGGTCTATTTTTAGATGTACGCATAGATGTAATGTTACAGAGCACATTAGGCGTGTACATAAAAAAAAGGGGAGCCTACACCAGTGATCCCAAAATTATGGTCCGCTAACCCTCAGCAGTTCGCGACTCTAGAGGTCCCCGTCAGCACAAGATGAATATCTATGATGAAACCAAAAAACTGAAATGAATAAATCTGGCACCGATCCATGGTGCATTTTCACAAATTTTTAACC